CAAAATTTCATAATGATCGGTTGAATGGTTAAGACGCATTTGAATTTATAATATTAGTTATAATTATAATTATTCTGCTTCTGAATCTAATTCGCTGCTCTAAAAATAAAAAATAAATAGAAACATAAAATTATTTGGTTTATGTAAACAAATTGGAAGCTTTTTCTGCATCAATATATTAGATATCGTGTTCGAAGCATGGTAGACCTACATTTTTGGGATCATGATTCTACCGCAGTTGCTATAATAAAATATTCGTTCGGAAGGTACTACATAAATAAATGCTTGAATTGTATTGATTTAATTAATCTTTCTCCTAGAAGGGTGTTGGATCGTAATCTGAGATATCCTAGTCCTAGAGGATAATTTTGCACTATTTTCTCTGTAATCATGAAGTTAAGAAATAAAATTATTTCTTTACTGAGTACTATCACTAACTTTTTATTAATTTAATGTGGAAGTTTTAGTAAAAAGGTATTAGTAACATATTTTTTTTTTAAGGAAATTACAAGTAGAAGGTTCCTCCTACGAACCTTTTTCCTAGATAATTGTTTTTACTGATTTATTTGGATTACTTCATAAATATCATACATGAGTGCACTACTTATATTTTAACTTTCCTTCGTCAGCCGCATGGACTCAGCCGCTAGCACATCCTATCTAGAAGCCTCAAACACTTCCAACTCGTCAAAAGGTTGGCGCGATTAACGATAACATCCTAGAAATCGAAGATAAACTTAAGGCACTATTCCTTCCTTTCATTAAAGGGTGGTCACTTGAACAAAACCCGATAACCTAACCTAACCTACCCTATTGATAAAGATTTTAAATAATGTATATAAGTTTCTCAATATTTTTATGTATTTTTCATTGGTTTTACCTTAGAATATTGTTTAAGAATGACTATATAAATATTTACATACCTCGAAATGTATAAAAATTGCCATATTTATTAACCTTTGAACCCCCATAACTTTTTATGGGGTGAGACCGCAACAACTTTTTATGGTACAGTGGTGAGGGAGACCTCCTCTTTCGATCCCCCCCATCACCACCCCCTTCGGGGGTGGGGGCCATCATTTAGACCTTTACCGAATTTTGCATTAGTGTTTGCCGCTATTCTAACTTTGCAAGCGTTTCAATATTGTTTAAGAATGGCTATATAAATATTTACATACCTAGAAATGTATAAAAATTGGCATATTTATTAACCTTTGAACCCCCATACCTTTTTATGGGGTGAGACCGCAACAACTTTTTATGGTACAGTGGTGGGGGAGACCTTCTCTTTCGATCCCCCCATCCCCACCCCCTTCGGGGGAGGGGCCATCATCTAGACCTTTACCGAATTTTGCATTAGTGTTTGCCGCTATTCTAACTTTGCAAGCGTTTTTAGACGAAAGGGATCCTCTAAAATACAAAATGAAAACTCCACAAAAGGACGAATGACATCGTTGGGTTTTTCTACTAATAGTAAGCATATAATGTTAAGGTTAGTAAAGGTGTATGTTTGGAGGACGGCGCTGTAAGGGTGCAAAATATGGACAATGGGCTCGGCGGAATAGAAAAGGTTAGAAGCGTTCGAAATGTGGTGTTACAGGCGAATGATGAGGATACCGTGGATAAAGAAGGTTAGAAATGAGGAGGTGTTAGAAAGAATAAGAGAACACAGGACTCCATTGACGTCAATTAGAAAATAGGCGAGATATGTTAGTAGGACGCCTCTTCAGGCATGGAGGGTCTAGTCAAAGACATGTTAGAGGCGGAAACGGAAGTTAGGAGGAGTAGAGGTAGACCTGGATTAGATTACTGTTCGCAAATAGTCTTTCTCTAACGCATAAATTGACCTTTTAACGAACAAAATAGTACAAGGTCTTGCGTATTGCTTATCTTACTAAAATGTTCAAAATTTGTTGCGAGAACTATTAATTTCATTTTGTGATGGATTCGGTTTGCCAAGGATAATTTGTGACTAACCTCTTTTCCGTACATGTTCATGGAATGTATAATAGGTACCTACAGTTTTTCTTTTGAACCACTATAATATATACATTTAACTTACTGTAAGAAGAATTGCATCAATAAGTGATCCACTAAATTGAACCAATAGGCACCACATCATATGCCAAAGACTGATTTTGCCACAACCAAATGCGCATATGGAAACAACTGGATTGAAATATCCACCGCTGATATGCTTAAAAGTTAGTATCGCCGTGGTCACAGAAAGACCATATCCCAGCGCTATATGTATGGGATGTCCCATAAAAAAGAAGAGGGGTTCGTGAACAGCAGACATGCATGATAGGATTCCTATCGTCATTGTCCCTAAAAACTCAGCGACAAGCATAATAGCTCGTTTGCCAGCAGGAATGTCATCAGTGAGCTTGATAGCTCCACTTCCTTGATCTACGTAATTAAATCATCAATTAATTGATAATTTAAATTTAGATTATCACTATTTTGATGAAACACTGTATGCAATGCTATCATTGGATATTTTCTGTTATCTGACAAGACCTTCTACTGGACGAACTGATTCTATGATGCCTCTTACGCATATACGTGATAAGAACCCAATAATTAAACAAATCACAGTAAATTCTTGGTCAGGAATGTTTCGAAATTTCGAACATTAGTTCTCATCAGCACGCAATTGGCATTTTCTGTCTGTATTTTATTGCGTATAGTATGCCCGATAAGTTATTTTTATTAGGTAAGTGTTTTAATCAAGTATATTCCATCTTACATAATTACTAATTAGTGTCTGTATGATTACCTATTTGGCATATATAGTAATTTATTTCATTCTGCTTAGGTCCACTGAATTTAGAGTAACATTTTATTGCCTTCAACACTCAAACGAAGTTCTTTTATGCAAACTGTTTATAAGTAGTGCAGTTTACAGTTTCACTTTCTAACCACCGTATTCTGCATATTAACCATTAATAGTTAATGGATAGTTTGATAGAGTAAAAGACATTAGATTTCTTGACTAAATCACTTCTGTTATTGCGAGCGATTAATTTGGAAATTTGGAAAGCATATGCGGCAAAAAACATATAAAAGCGAACGTAAAAATGCTGTGAACATAAAAGATAAAAAATGATCAGGTATTGGAAAAAGTAGGAGACCGTAAGACAGTACGGGTTTGAATAAGGAAAAGGACCCCTAGACTGAAAACTGAAAACAAAAAGGAGCAGAGGAAGTCCTTGATAGGATTATAATGTTCGCAAGTATGCAGTAAGGGAAGTGAAATGTCCTAGTTTTCGGGAAATGCGAAAATTGGCTCATAAAAGAAGCTAGTGGAGAGGAGGTGTGTGTCAACTCGTCTTCTTGAAATGACGATCTTGTTGCGAGGATATAAAATTACAATTTAAAGTCTGTCTGTTTCATAGAATAAGGATATCAGGAACGGTAAGGATATATATAAAAGTGGTCAAGGATAAAAACTAAAAAAATGCGTCCTTACCGTCGCGTTTCTAACATAACCCGTTGTGTAATACTTAATAACTTCAAGTTCCTCTTACCTTCAAAACAAGTGCTCCAAATATTGCCCCGATTAATTGAGCTAGGATATAGAAGAGGACATCGAAGATCCGAAAAAGACCAAAAATGAAGCAGCATATTGTCACAGAGGGATTGCATTGCCCTCCAGATACATGACCTGCTATTACAATTGTCATCATGTAACTGAGGCCATAGCACAAGGCTTGGTGAAATCTATACAAATGGAATATATAAAAATCGGGCGATTCGATTGCAGCTGCACACGGAATAACTACGAGGCCCATCGTGCACAGAAATTCGGCAATACATAGTCGAATGATATCGCTCCATTCTTTCGATCTTAGAGCACCTGATAATTAAAAAGAGAGATAATGTTATATAGACGGGCAATGCAAAACGAAGAAAATGAATGTGAAGCAGCCAATGATAGAGGAAAATGCATATTCGTTTCATATAATGTACCTACACCTTTCCTTTTGTTCTCTAATTTTTATGGAAAAAATCAGTGCGATGTCGGAATTTTAAAAACTCTTATTAGTAGAGTACGATAAGTTTGACGCTACAGTTAGTATTTTAGTAAAACCGCTCAAAATAACACGAAAATGAAGAATAAAATTTTTCGATATCTCGCTTCGTTTTCGAGATATGGACACTTGAAGTTTGAGTTTTAGAAAATGATACGTTTAGCTACAAACAGTTATCGCGTTTAATTTAGGTTACGATAACTTAAGTTTCCCCTATCTCTTTTGAAATTACAGTCTCTGAGGGTAGGTTAGGTTACATTATTTGAAGGTTTCACCCTTCGCTTTTGCAGTTACACTCGCTGAGGTTAGGTTACGTTATCTGATGTTTTCCTCGCCTTCCCTTTACATGCTCATTTTTAAGGTCATATTTGTAATCAGCACACAAAAGACCCTGATGTAGTACTTTATTTCAAACGCGGAATCACGGTTTGCTACATCAGTACATTTAATCGAAAAATTTTGTTCTTCATTTTCATCTTATTTTGTACTATTTTAACAAAATACATCAAATATTGAAGCAAAAGTAATAACATTCGTGCTCTTGCTAAAAATAAAATATTAAAAGGTCCCTTTTGAAATTAATTTTTTGCTATTAAGGGTAGGTAAATACCCATTATATTATCACCGGCCCTAGATTCTTTCAGCGTTGCATTTAAAATGGTTTTACTAACTAAATGCGAAATTAAACGGAAGTCTTATGGCCAATATGCAGAATTAAGCAGTTCAACGTGTAAACTATGTATATTATATATTTTTTCCATTGCAACAAAAGCTAACGAAAGTAGGAAATTTTACATGTAATTGCTACACAGCAAAAATCTCATAAATTCCTGACTAAATGTAAGCACTGTATAAAAGATAACAAAAGAAATAATTTTGCTTTTCAGTATAAAAACCAGCATATATTAGCTGTACTTATTATGACAACAATGTTTAGTTAACATTTTTACGTAGGTATATTCTTGCTATTCTCGGAAACCGCGCTGCATTTATTATAATTTGAATAAACTTGCTGAAATATTATGCATATACGAGGGTGGATTGATAAGTTTCCGGCCTAACCAAGAGATGACGCCACTAGGCCTACCTTGAGGTGACATTCTATAGTACCATCCTTGGATAGCTTGTAGCTATAGTTTCAGCCCGATCTCCTTGCTAGTGTAGGTTTGACAGCACG